CCGCGAACTCCCAGCAAGTACGGCCAACAGACACCGTGCTGGATGGAGAAAGACAGGGTCCTCCCACCAGGACTGGGTAGGGAGCAAAGATGTGCACTCTCGCGATGAATATTCAGCGTCTACTGGAAGTCATGGCCCGTACAATGAGGCAAGAAAAAGAAACAAAAGGCATACTGATTACAAGTGAGAACTAAAACTGTCCCTCTTCACAGACAACGTGGTGGCCTGTCATCCAGGAATCCATAAAAAGCCTAACTGAGGGAATGAGATTAGCAAGATACAGAGTCAGCGGCAAAAATCGTAGCCCTACATGCTAGGGATTTTACAAGCAGAAATTTTTGTAAATACCATTTATAATAGTGACACTCTGACATGAAACACTTAGCTATAAACCTAATAAAACACGTATAGGATTTGTAGGCCAAAAATTAAAGCTAATGAAAGAAATCAAAGAAGGCCCAATAAATGAAGACCCAACACAGTAAAGACATCGGTTCCCTCCACGCTGACATATAGGTTTAGTGCGATTCCAATAAAAATCTCAGCAAAAGTTTAAAAAGCTGTAGATCCTAAAATTAACACAGAAACACGAGTGATCTATGAGAACTAAAACCTTTTTGAAAGATAAGAATCTAGAGAAATTGCAATGCCCAAATCCTTTTATTGAGGTAAAATTCCCATAAACTAAAACTAACCATTTTAAAGTGGGCAATTTAGTGGCAACCATTGAATACATTGACAATGCTGTGTAACCATCACCTCTATCTAGTTCCAAAGCATTTCATCCCCAGCCCCAAATGAAACCCTGTATCCATTAAGCGACGCCCCTCCCTCAGCCCCATTAATCTACTTTCTGTCTCTATGATTTTGCCTGTTCTGGACGTTTCATATAAATGGAATCACACAGCATGTGGTCTGGTCTGTTGTGTGTGTCTTCTTTCACTCAGCGTACTGTTTTCAAAGTGCATCCGTGTTGGGCTTCCCTGGTGGCGCAGTGGTTGGGAGTCCGCCTGCCGATGCAGGGGACGCGGGTTTTCAAAGAACCACCTTTTGGCTCCACTGATTTTCTCTACTGCTTTTATTCTATATCACACTGAGCTCTTCTCTAATCTTACTACTTCCTTCCTTCTTCCAGCTTTGGGTTTAGTTTGTCCTTCTTCTAGTTCCTTAGGGTGTAAAGTTAGGTTGAGGATGTGAGATCTTTCTTGTTTATTTTTTTTAAACTTTAAAAATTTATTTATTTATAATTTAAAATTGTTGGCTGTGTTGTGTCTTCATTGCTGCGCACGGGCTTTTCTCTAGTTGTGTCGAGTGGGGGCTACTCTTCGTGGTGGTGCGCGGGCTTCTCTTGTTGCGGAGCACGGGCTCTAGGGACACGGGCTTCAGTAGTTGTGGCTCGTGGGCTCTAGAGCTCAGGCTCAGTAGTTGTGGCGCATGGGCTTAGCTGCTCCACGGCATGTGGGATCTTCCCGGACCAGGGCTCAAACCCGTGTCCCCTGCATTAGCAGGCGGATTCTTAACCACTGCGCCACAAGGGAAGTCTGAGATCTTTCTTGTTTTTTAATGTAAGTGTGTATAGCTATAAATTTTACCCTTAGCATCATTATTTTCTATGTCTCATAAGTTTTGATATGTTGTATTTTCATTATCAGTCATCTCTAAGCATTTTCTAATTTTCTTTGTGATTTCTTCTTTGATCCATTGGTTGTTTGAGTGTGTTGTTTAATTTCTACAAAGTTGTGAATTTTACTTCTGTTACTGATTTCTAACTTTATCCCATGGTGGTTGAAGAAGACACTTTGTATGATATCTATCTTAAAAAATCTACTGAGATTTAATTTGTGGGCTTAACACATGGTCTGTTGTAGAAATTGTCCCATGTGCACTTGAGAAGAATGTGTGTTCTGTTGGCGGGTGGGGTGTTCTGCACATGTCTGTTCCATCTAGTTGGTTTAGCACATTATTTCAGTCCCCTGTTTCCTTATCTTCTCTCTGGTTGCTCTGTCCTTTATTGAGAGGGGAGTGTTGAAGTCTCCATTAGTGTAGAACTCTCTATTTCTTCCTTCAGTTCAGACAGTTTTGCTGCATATATTTTGATGGTCTGTTTCTAGGTACGTAATGACTAATGACGTTGAGCAGTTTTTCATGTGCCTATTGACAATCTGTGTATCTTCTCTAGATAAATGTTTATTCATATCCTTTGGTCATTTAAAAATTGGGTTATTTGTCTTTTTATTATGGAGTTGTAAGTGTTCCTTATATATTCTGAACACTAGACCCTTACTCATTATGATTTGAAAATGTTTTCTCCCATTCTGTAGGTTGTGTTTTCACTTTCTTGATAGTATCCTTTGTTGCATGAAAGTTTGAAATTTTGATGAAGTTCAATTTACCTATTTCTTCTTTTTTGCTTGTGTTTTTGGTGTCATATCTAAAAATCTATTGCCAGATCCAAGGTCACGAAGATTTACACCTATGTTTTCTTCTAACCGTTTTATAGATTTATTGGGCCTTTGGTCCATTTCGTGTTAATTTTTGTATGTGGTGTGAGGTAGGGATCCAACTTCATTCTTTTGCAAATGGATGTAGAATTATCACAGCACCATTTGTTAAAGAGATTATTCTTTTCACACACTTCCTGATTTTAGCAATTGCTATAAAACTGCAATAATTGATTCAGTGTGGTCTTGGTGTGGAGATAGACACAAAAATCAGTGTAACAGAACAGAGTCCAGAAATAGCTCCACACATAGGTCCAATGGTGCTTTGAAAAAGGTGCAAAAGCAATTCAATGGAGAAAGTATAATCTCTAGACAAATGATGCTGGAAGAACTGGACATCCATATGCAAGAAAAATGAATCTTGACCTAAATCTCACACCTTATAGGAAAATTAACTCAAGATGGATATTGTATGTAAGTGTGACACGTAAAACTATAACACGTTTAGAAGAAAATAGGGGAGAAAATCTTTGTGATCTAGGGTTTGCCAACGTCAATGGATCATTCCACACAAGAAAAAATTGGGTGCATTGGACTTCATCAAAATGAAAAACTTTTGTGCTACGAATGACTGTTAAGTGAATAAAAAGGCAAGCCGCAGACAGGGAGAAAATATTTGCAAGTCAAATATCTGGTGAAGGCCTTGTATTCAGAATACATAAAGAGCTCTCAAAACTCCACACTAAGAAAATAAACAACCCACTGAAAGATCGGGCTAAGGCTCTGAACAGACATTTTTCCGAAGAAGATATACATATGGCTGATAAGCACATGGAAAGATGCTCAACATCATTAGTCTTTCGGGAACTGCAGGTCAAAACTGCAATGAGACACCACTTCAGACCCATAGAATAACTGTAATCAAAAAGACAGACCCATAACAAATGTTGGTGAGGATGTGGAGATGCTGGAACGCTCCTACATTGCTGTTGGGAATGTAAAATGGTGCAGCTGCTGTGGAAAACAGTTTAAATATAGTCACCATATGACCCAACAATTCTATTCCTAGATATCTACTCAGGATAAGTGAAAACATATATCCACACAGAGAGCTTAGACAGGAATGTTCATGGCAGCATCATTCCTAGTATGTAAAAACTGGGAACGACCCAGATGCCCATCAACTGACGAATGACGACCAAACATGGTGTAACTAAGGAATGAGGTACTATTGACACATGCTACAGTGTGGATGAGCCTGAAAACACTCTAAGTGAAAGTGTCCGGTCCTGTAGGATTCCATTTATATGAAATGCCCAGAACAGGCAAGCCCACAGAGACAGGAAGTAGATTCGTGGTTGCCAGGGGCTTGCTTCGGGGTAGGGGAGTGACTACCTAATAGCGCGGGGTTTCTCTCTGGGGTGATAAAAATGTTCAGAAGTTAGATTATGATGGTGGTTGCACAACTCTAAACGCGCTAGAAGCCACTGCATTACGCTTTCTATATGTGTACTTTACATGGATGAACTTTATAGTATGTAAATGACATCTCAATAACGCTGTTTGTTTTTAAAAGGATAAAAGACCTGAACGGAACCTCACTAAAGAGAATGCACCATTCAGCACAGGGAAAGTTCTTCAACGTCATCAGTTATAAGAGAAATGGAATTAAAACCAGGATGGGATAGCATCGCACGCCCATTAGAAGAGCTAAAACAAAATCTCCAACAAGAGACTGACGAGAACAAGTGCTGTTGAGGGCGTGGAGCAACTGGAACTCTCACAGGCTGCTGTGGTATGCGAGATGGTACCAGTACCCTGGAGACCAGTGTGGCCGCTTCTTAGAAAGTGAGTCACACGCCTGACAGATGATCAAGCGATCCCACTGCTGGGCATTTGTCCAAGAGAAATTCAAACTTATGTTCGCGAAAACCTGTACACAAATGTCTATGGTGGCTTTATTCATAACTGCCAAGACTGGAAACAACCCAAACATCACCTAGTGGGTGAAGGATAAGCAAATTGCGGTCCATCCACACACGGAATACCGTTCATTGTTAAAAAGGAACGAACCACTGAAACACGTAATCACCTGGGTGACTCTCAAAGCATTATGCTGAATGAGAGAAGCCGGACCTGGGACCTCCCTGGTGGCGCAGTGGTTGAGAATCCGCCTGCCGCAAGAAGGAGGAGCTATGGGGACATATGTCTATGTACAGCTGATTCACTTTGTTATACAGCAGCAACTAACACACCAGTGTCAGGCAATTACACTCCAATAAATATGTTAAAAAAAAAAAAAAAAGAATCTGCCTGCCAGTGCAGGGGACACGGGTTCGAGCCCTGGTCCGAGAAGATCCCACATGCCACGGAGCAACCAAGCCCGTGCGCCGCAACTACTGAGCCTGAGCTCTAGAGCCTGTGAGCCACAACTGCTGAGCCCACGTGCCACAACTACTGAAGCCTGCGTGCCTAGAGCCCGTGCTCTGCAACAAAGAGAAGCCACTGCGATGAGAAGCCTGCGCACCACAATGAAGAGTAGCCCCCGCTTGCTGCAACTAGAGAAAGCCCGTGCGCAGCAACAAAGACCCAACGCGGCCAAAAATAAATAAATGGGGGAAAAAAAAACGCTTTAAAAAAAGAAAAGCCGGACCCAAAAGATAACACACTGTAGGCTTCCATTTACATGACATTCTCAAGAAGACAAAGCTATGGTGATGGGGAAGAGATCCGTGACTCTGAGTAGGAGGAAGAGGTGAGTATAAAGGGCGAGCACAGGGGAGATTTTTAGGGTCTTGGGGGATTCTGTGTCCCAATTGATGTGGCTACAGGAGTCTGTACCTGTGTTAACATTCACAGAACTGTACATCTTTCAAAAAGTCAATTTTCTGTATAACTCAAAAATAAAAATATATAAATAACTTAAAAACACAACCATCACAGTAAAATTGATTCAGTTAAGAATTCTCCATGAGTGCTAAGTTGAGAGGGATTTTAACGAGGAAAAGGATACTTATCGAATCCAAAGTGCATCCTCATTAAGTATTTAATCATTACAGAGGGAAAAAGAGTAACTTCACGGCAGGGAAAGCTGGTGGACACCACCTCCACCAGTTGGTCGAGGATAACGCCACCACTCATGGGTAAGCTGACGTCAGGCACCTGCCCGTCTGACATGCATTGCTCCTGTGGAATTCCTGCCGGAAAAATAAAATGTGAATCTATTCATGCAGAAACATGAGAAAAACCCCCAGCAGAGGGACATCCTGCAAAACAGCTTGTCTCCACTCTTTAAAAACGTCTGTGTCATGAAAGACACAAATGGCCGAGGATCTGTTTCAGGTTAAGGAAACTAAGAGCCTTGACCACCAAAACCAACGTGTGATCCTGGATTGGGAAAAATACAGCTACGAAAAATATCCCTGGGACAAGTGACACAATTAGAAGCTGGACTGCAGATTGAGGGATTGTATCAACTGGAAACGTACACTGAAGTACTAAGGGGTCGAGGCAATGATTTATGCAACCTTTTCTCAAATGTTTCAGAGACAATAATATAAGCGGACACAGAGAGAGACAGAGAACAGTACAGCAGACAGGGCAGGTATGAAGAATTAGTGATGTGGATGCAGGGCATAAGACAGCGTTCTTGGTCCCCTTCTTGCAACTCTTCTGTAAGTTTGAAATTGTTTCAGAAAAGAAGTTGACATGTGTGGACTCAACTCCTGCTTCCAACAACAGAGAAGTGGCGGGAAGGCCAGCCCGTGTCCAGAAATGACTGTGAAACTGGACGAAGTCCGGCAGCAGCTGCTCCAGTCAGTGGACACTGGACCCTCAGGGCTGTGAGCTCTCAAGCGCCCACCCTCCTGGCTCCCCGGGGACAGTCTGACCACAGCCCTGAAGCAGGGCTCCAAGCAGAGCACAGAGGCCGAAGCTGAGGTTTTCAGTAGTTCAAAACTGGAAATGGAATACTACACAGCAGTGAAAAAAACCAAACACCTCCCAAATGCAGCAGCAAAGGCGCATGTCACAAACATGACGGCAGGTGAGAGAAGCCAGAAAAAAGAACACAAAGTGCACATTCCATTCACGCAAAGCGACGTATAGCGGGAGGGGCCAAGGCAGCGGTTGGCTTTGAGGGCATGAGGCAGCGCTCTATTTCTTGATCTGGTGGTCAAGCACGTTTCTCTAAGTTGTTCAAGGGCAGGCTGGAGCCCTGTCTCCCTTGCTGCCCGGTCCTTTCCCCGCCCAAAGCCTCCTGCATCAGTTCATCCCAAGACCCCCTGAGGTCACCGGCTCCTGAGGCAGGTTATTCCCAACTGCCCAGCTGAGGGGAGCTCTGTTCAAAGAGCAGAAAAGGCAGGCTGCAGAGTTGCTAAGGCTCTTCCTGTTCCCCAGGGAAATTTCTGAACCTGGGGGTGGGGAGGCTGGCTTAGCGCTGAGGCCTCTCCCTCCCCCACTCCAGGGGCCCAGGGGAACCGAGCAAGGTGCAGGAGAAGCTAGGTGATGCAGCAAATGCCCACCTGCTCCCTTCTTTCTCCTGGGCCCAGAGAAGGCTGGCCGTGGAGGGGGTTGGTGAGCCTGTAGCCCTCCCCTGGTTCTCCCCCGTGTCCCCAGCCCCACTGCAGGGCTGCCCCTTCTTGGCGCGAGAGGCTGGTCCCTCCCCATCTCTGGTTGGCCTCCCAGCCTGCAATGGGCCAAATGGGGGCCCTGGCCACTCCCTCTTCCTGGCGCCAGGCTGGAGCCCCTGACCCTGCAGGGCCCAGCCCGCCAGACCCCCTCTCTGCTCGCCGGAAGCAGGGGGAGCTGGGCTAGCGCAGGCAGGGCTGCCCCGCCGCCCCCCCCCCCCCCCCCCCGCGGTGCCTGGGGAGTGAGGGCCTGTGGGGAGGAGCCTGCGAGCCCCAGCTCCTTCACCATGGTGACGGCTCCCTGCTGCGTGGCAGGTACCGGTGGCCCGCGGCTCCAGTGGCCCCAGCATGGGTGGGCATGGGTGGGGGCAGGGCAGGCCAGCTGCCGAAACCTCTGAGGGGCTGTGCCCCCCTCTCTAGGCTTCCCTGGCTGGTCAGGTCAGCCTCAGCCTCGCAAACCCTCCCAGACACGCTGGGTTTGGCAGGAGGTGTGTTTGGGGGCCTGGATTGTCCAGTCAGTGGCCCCGACTTACTTTCACATGGCCCAGAACCCGAGCACAGGGCTGGCCGGCTGGTGGGGCCTTGGCTGGCCTTGGGTCTTGCTGGTGTGCACGTGGCCCGGCCCCGCTCCCTTCTCTGATTAGGGGCTGTGACCTTGCTCTTCTGAGGGGATCTGGTAGCCAAGAGCACCTCTTCACCATGGAGACCACTTAGCTTGCGGCCTCAAGGGCATCTCAGTCCCCTGGGTGCCCAGCCTGGAGAGCCAGGGGCAGGGGAATGTGTCCCTGGGCCGTCCAGGGGCCTGCTGCCCAGGTAGGCTGGGAGACAGGTGCGACTGACCCCACATGTAAGGATGCACACCAATGGCCTAGGGACAGAGGGCAGCCTGTGGCCCGAGGCCAGGGGTCGATGTCATTCTGAGACACCCGCAGCCCTCCCTCCCCCCCGCCCCCCCCAAGCCGCTGTCTGGGCCCCTGTGACCATCACCCGGGTTGCTGGTCCCTACCTGCTGGGGCCGTGGCCCCCCAGGAAGGCACACGCACAGGTGGAAAGCTCTGCATTTGCAGGTTATTATTAACCGGCAGTGACATCACCCGCAGCCAATGGGAGGCGGGTTTATTTCCAGGGCTGACAGCTTGATAACGGTTAATTTTAGCTGGATCTTCTTTCCCCAGGCTCGTGAAAATCCCTGCCCGCCAAAGAGGGGGCTGTCTGTGTCGCCCTGCCCCAAACAGCTCGTGTCGGGGCCTGGGAGCTACAGGAGGGGCTGAGAAGGCGGGGCCTGTACTCCTCCCTCTGCCCGCTGCCCAGAAAGTGCCCTGGGAGCCCGTACCAGCCTCATTAGCAGGAGCCCTTTCTTTGCTCGTCCCCCCACCCATACCCTTGGCTGCTACGGGGGCCGCTGTGACCAGTGGCTCAGGTGTGGGAAAAGGGCTACAGGGGCGGAGCCTGACCTGGGAGAGGGGAAGAGCGCAGCCGGGACCTGGGCGGGCTTGTCCAGAAGTACCGCTGCCCCAGCTCAGGCCTTCCAAGCCTTCCGCGAGCTCTGCCCTCCTTGCTGTGTGACCTTGGGCACTGTGCTTTGCTTCTCTGTGCCCAGCTGCCCCTCGGTCCATGGGTCCTCAGGCTGCCTGGGAGCCCCACCACGCAAGGCTTGGTGACTGTGGCTGTTCAGTGCATCACATAGTGTTTAGTATTGCTTAGTATTTCATAGTTATTCAGTACCAGTCAGTGATTAGTAGTTATTTAGTACTGTTCAGTGGTTGTTAAGTACGAATCAGTAGTTAGTAGTAGTCATTAAACACTATTCAGTAGTTAGCAGGTGTTCACCAGTTAGCTGGGCCACGCGGTGGTTAGCAGCTGTTCACCAGTTAGCTGGACCACGCGGTGGTTAGCAGCTGTTCACCAGTTAGCTGGGCCACGCGGTGGTTAGCAGCTGTTCACCAGTTAGCTGGGCCACGCGGTGGTTAGCAGCTATTCACCAGTTAGCTGGGCCACGCGGTGGTTAGCAGCTGTTCACCAGTTAGCTGGACCACGCGGTGGTGCAGCCCTGCGCTGCTGGTCGGGGTTAGGTAGCACCATACCTCCCTCCGTGTCTCCACTGTGTGAGCCCAGCGTCTCCAGACACCATGTTGCTCGGGCTCCCAGGGCCCTGCAGGTGGTCCAGCTGAGGACGGATGGGCAAGTCCTGGGGACTGGAGGCCTCTTGGGGGGACCACTGGAGACCCCTGCCTCAGGTCAGCGAGCAGGTCCTTGCGGGGGGACGCTGGCTTCCACTAGCAGCGGCCATTGCTCTGGGGAGCACGGCCTCCCAGCCCCTGGTGCGGGCAGCCCAGTGCGGTTTGGTTCCTGCCAGGCGACAGCAGCGGGTGAGCCCAGAGCAGAGAGGCGAGCCTCAGGCCTGTGCGGGCGTCTGATAAACACCCTCTGAGGCTTCAGGTAGCTGGAGATCCCTGGGGGAAGTTGGGGTGGCGTCCACAGGGACCCGGGCCTCCTGCCCCCTCGGTCCGTGCCATGCCAGCCTCCGTCAGTCACGGCATCTCCCAGATCCTGCCTAAGCTTCGGCAGAAGGGGACGCATTAAACACAGAGGCCAGCTGGGCAGGGCGGGGGGGCCGTGCTTTCCGCACAGGCGTTTATTTTTAATTCCTGGCTCCTGTTTGATGGCATCAGCAGACGAGGAGGTGCCGGGTCACTTGCCAGCCCCTCTCGCCCGGTCTGTGGGCGGACACAGCGCCCGGTCTATGGGTGGACACACTCCCCTCCCGGAGAGACCCTCCCCACGGGGCAGGGAGACCTGCTTGGCGCCCAACCACTGCCCCGGCCCATCTTTACTTCCTTACCTGCTGGGGGGGTCCCACTTCTGGGGGCTCCCCGTGGGCACTGCCCCATCAGGAGGTGCTGATCCCTGGGCCTCTGCTCCCCCCCACACATTTTTTGAGACCCTGCCCCAACTTCTCCAAGACCCTGACCCTAACCTGAGTGTCCTCGGGCTCTGAGGCAGATGGAGACACGGCCATGGGGAGATGCGGTAATGGGTGAGCTGACAAGGTTGGAGGTCCCGGAAGAGGCCATGACCCTGGTCTTCACTAACCCATCCCCCCCCCCCCGAAACCCATTTTGGTCATTGCCCTGGTCTGCCCAGGATCCTCAGGGACATCGCACTTCCTACAGATCGAGGGGAGGCCTCAGGGCCACAGCCTGGGACTCTCTCTGGGAGCTGATTTCTTTCCTTGGCAAACTCTGCGTCCCTGGGAACCCGGCCCATGTGTGCAGACCAGGGCAGCCCTCAAAGATTTCAGTGGGCTCTGGGGGCGGACTTCAAGTGTTCCCTGTACCAAAAGGGGCCCAGGGTGGAAAACAGTTCTTCCCAGGGCTTGGAGGGAGGGTGAGCTGACTGGATCTGTGGATGCAGCCTCAGGCCACTTGGCCGAGCTGAGGGGACCCTGGAGGCCACAGTTTCCGTGCCACACCACGGGGCCGGGGTGCAGAGCCTGGCTCTGGGGGCCTGCTGGGGCAAACCTGTGTGGCAGGCACATGGGGGGCAGGGGACTTGGAAAGAAGCAGATTCTGGGGTCCCACCAGGGGGCCTGCACCCCCTGGGCCACCCTGGAGAGATGCCTCAGAACACAGCACCACGTAAATCAGGTGCCGGCAGGACAGCCGCCCAGACGCCGACCTCAGCCACCCCCCAGGCCTGCCCTGCTCCTCCCCTGCCCCCACCGGCCCCATCCTCGCGGACTGGCCCTTCCCTGGGACCTCCTTTTGGATCCAAATGTCTTTTTGTGCTCGGCGCAGCGCTGCTCTCCCCTCGCGTGCCCGAGCCTGGCGTTTCAGCCTTGCGGGATCTGCCCTCTGCCGCTAGCTGTTTCTCTCCAGGCCTCTCTCCATCTCTGCGCCTCCCTCCTTTCGGCTCCCTCTCCGCATCCGGCTCTCGACGCCCCCGCCTGTTTGGCTCTCCCCGCCCGCGCTCCCTCCGGGTGCGTCTCGTCTCCGCCTTTGTAGCTCCCTCCCTCGCCACATGCTCCTCTCGCGTCCCTGTCGCACTCGCGTGCGCCCGCGGGCCCGCTGTCCCTGCATCCCTGCATCCCTCGCATCCCCGCCCCCGGCCCCGCCCGCGCCGGTGCCGCATTGCCGTACTGCAGGGGTGCAGTGCACTGCGCCTGCTCCGTCAATAGGTGGACCCCCCTCCTGGAGAGATAAAACCGCCGGCGCCGGCGCCGCCAGTCCCTCTGGCTGAGACCTCGGCTCCGGGTAAGGACGCTGGGCCTCCGGGTCCCCACCCCCGCCCCCAGCTTTCCGCAGAGGGTCCCTTCCCCGGGGACCAGTCCCAGGGGCAGAGACTGGTCGGCCCGGCGCCTGGCGAGGCTGCGCTGCTCCCCGAGGAGATCGGCTGCCCGCCCGGGGACTCCGGACCCAGCACCGGGGTCAGTCCCCCGGGCGGCCCTGGGTGGGGTGGGGGCACCGCGGTAGCGCTTGTTTACGGGGCTGCTGTGGCGGGGCCGAGTCTCCTGGGCGGTGGCGATCAACCTGCAGCCGTGACCTTGGGATCGCCGTGGGGGGGGGCCCTGTGGGGTTCGGGAAGGGTCGTCAGCGCTGGGGGCTGGTGAGGGTGGGCGCTGGGGGTGCCCCCCCAACGTAGAGGGGGAGGGGAGGCTGTGAGACCTGAGGTGTCCTTGCCACCCCGCCTCCGCCCGGGCAGGCGGTGTCCGCACCCTGGGGTCCGCACCCTGGGGTGCGCCGCTTTCTCCCGCTTTCCCTTCCCCAGCCACCTGCCCCCCCCCCCACGGGCTGCCTAGGTTTCTCCATTGACCTCCAGGATGAGGCAGGGGCTGTGACCCTGTGACCAGAGGGAAGGGGGAGGGCATGGCCCTCTGCCCCCACCAGGCTGAGGGCATCTCTGTCTGGCATCTGCTGAGCATGGCTGCTGGGGCCAGATTCTCCCTGCTCTGGACACAGCAGGGACCCCCACCTCCCTGCCCTACTGCCTGCCCCGTCCAGACCCCGGGGAGGGCCCGAGCTGGACACAGCAGGGACCCCCACCTCCCTGCCCTACTGCCTGCCCCCGTCCAGACCCCGGGGGGGCCCCGAGCTATTCTGGGTCCCTGATCTGGGCACCGCATCGCCCTGCTTGAGCTCTGGGCCAGGCGTCTCCCCGGTGCCAGCCTGCGGGCAGGGATGAGGGGAAGATGGTGCCGTCCCTGCTCGAGGAGGGGAGTGGGAAGCACTGACCGCCTCTCCACCGTGGCAGCTCTGCGGGGCGGGGGGTGGGGGCTGGGATCGGGTGGGCGCGGTGTCCCAGCCCAAGGCCGGGGCCAGGGCACTGGAGAGCGGGGCAGGGTGACTCATCACCGGCTCCTGACTGGTCACGGGGCTCGCCAGGCTGGTGTTCCTCGGTGTCTCCGGATGGGGTTAGCCTCTCAGGGTGGGGGGGCTCTGTAGGCACAGCACTCAGACGTGTGCGGCTACTGGGCTGTTTGGGCTTTTGCCCCCGGGCTCTGCTCAGCTAAACACGGAGACCTGGCTCCGGCCTCGGGGGCCCGGACTGTGCTCAGGGTGTGCTCCCAACCTGTGCAGGGCAGGGCTTTGCTGGGCTTCTCTCTGAGGCCCCCCATCACCTTTGCTCCCCACCTCGACCCACAGAGTCACTGCTCAGCGTGCCCCTCGCCCTGAGGCAGAACACCCCAGGTCGCGCCAGCCCCTCCCCACACCCCGGGCAGGATGGGCAAGGAGAAGACCCACATCAACATCGTGGTCATCGGCCACGTGGACTCAGGCAAGTCCACCACGACCGGCCACCTCATCTACAAATGCGGGGGCATCGACAAGAGGACCATCGAGAAGTTTGAAAAGGAGGCGGCCGAGGTGAGCCCTGAGGGGGGCTCCCACCTTCGCCTCCACCGTGAGGTTGGGTTCTCACAGGGCAGCCGGGCTGATGCTTCCCTGACCCCGGGGCACATAGCTCAGATGAACTCCTCTGGGGCAAGAGGGACGTGAGCCCCAAGGACCCCATGTGGGAGATGTGTGTGTCGCAGCATCCGGATGGGAAAGGCATGGGGGCAGCTGGGGGAGCCTCTCTCTGAGGAGGTGCCTGGTCGGGGGGAGGTGGGATGACCTGCCGGACCAGACCCCGGCGGCGGAGGGGCTGGAGGTGCACTTCTCCCAGGATAGGTCACTGTCTCTGAGCCCCCAGGGTTGGGTTCCCGTGTCCCCGGGGCTGAGGTCTGGGGCTGGAGGTGGCGCTGTCCTCGCTTGTCCCGGGGCTGGGCCAGGACTCAGAGCGGCTATTAATAGCTGATTGATGGGCACCCAGCCCATCAGCTCCATTTTCTCCTGCCGGCCCGGGGCAGGCTGCCTGTCCAGGGTAGCACCCTTTTTTGGGGGGGAGTCTTTGTCACCTGGCGAGGAGGAGAGGGGCCCTGATGGCTGACCCCCCATTTCTCGAAGCTGATCCTCTCAAGCGTCCGAGACCCACGGGTGGGAAGTGTCCATGGAGTGGGATCTGCTCTCTGTGCCTCCTACCTCCACCCCTGAGCTCTGGGGGAAGCTCCTGTTGGGGAGCTGTGAGGGGTCTCATCTGGATGGCCAGTGCCAGGGCTCAGGAGGGGCAGCTGCTGGCCTGGGCTGCGGGGATGCTCCTGGGCCCCAAAGCTGTGTCTCTTCTTCCCTGCGGGGCTGGTGTTGAGGGGGGCTGAGGGTGTTTGCGGGGTGTCTGGTTCGGGTCTAGCTGGACCCTGGCTGGGCAGCCTCCCTGGAGGGCAGAGCCCTGTCCGTGCATGGCCCTGGCAGGGAGCTTTGACCAGCTGGGCAGTGACCACAGCTGCCACCCTGACCGCAGCCCTGACCCTGGGCATGGGGGTCTCACTGGGCACTTGGCACAGGTGTTGGGAGAGGGCAGCCCGGCCTCGCTTTCCCTGGTCAGGTGGGGCGGGGAGTGGAGGCGGAGCCTCAGAGCCACTGGGGAGCTTTAGCGGCTGTGGAAAGAACTGGAAAGCCAGGCCCTTCCTTACCACCTCATCTGATTTCTTTCTTTCTTTTTCCCTAAAAAAACCCAAAAAACCAAAGAGGGGCTTTTTGGTTGGACAGCCTGAAGCCCAGCGGGGTCATCAGCTGACACAGGGATCTGGGGGGTGCGGTGGGGGGGACCCTGGCTTCAGATAAAGGGAAGCCCTCAGCCAGGGGAGGGCTTGAAACCAGGGCGGCTCTCAGGCTGCTCCCAGGCCCTTGCGCCCCCTGCTGGTGGCGCCCGTTTAGGCGGCAGGAGGCCGGCCCGGGCAGGGCATGGATGAGGTCCTGGTGTCCCCGGTTCCGGAGGTGGGTCCAGAGCCCCAGGGTTCCAGCAGTAGCGAGGGGTCTCTCTGCTGTGACATGCTGCTCCCGTGCCCCAGGGGGACCCGAGTCCCGGTCCCGTCCTGAACCACGTCCCCACCCCTCCAGATGGGGAAGGGCTCCTTCAAGTACGCCTGGGTGCTGGACAAGCTGAAAGCCGAGCGGGAGCGCGGCATCACCATCGACATCTCCCTCTGGAAATTCGAGACCACCAAGTACTACATCACCATCATCGACGCCCCGGGCCACCGCGACTTCATCAAGAACATGATCACAGGCACATCCCAGGTGGGCGGGGCCTCGGGCGCCTGGGGGACGGGAGGTGGGGCGGGGGCACCGTTCAGGAGAGCCTGGGGGGCCCTGGAATCGGTGAGCGGTAGCTGGGTCTCCTCTGCTTCCTCGCCAGGGCATGAAACCCCTCACCTTTGTCACCACGCGCCCCCCCAAAGAACTAAGTGTCCTGGCATCTCAGCCTGGCAAGGGTGCCTGTAAGGACAGCCAGCCACTGTCAGGGCCGCCTTCACAGGAGACACAGAGGCCAGGATGGGGACACGGAAATGTGGGCAGAAATGCCCCCGGACAGTCCGACATTGCCAGGGCATTCACACAGACAGACAGACAGACAGACACTGCCCCTAAGGTCGGGACCCCCAGGTTCCATGCCCAGGCGATGGCCCAGGCCCCTGTCTGCTGCCCAGAGGGGCCTGGGCTTGGGTGCTGGGCGAGGTCTGGGCTCACCTTGCCCGACCTGCCGGGCAGGCGGACTGCGCTGTGTTGATCGTAGCGGCGGGAGTGGGCGAGTTTGAGGCGGGCATCTCCAAGAACGGGCAGACCCGGGAGCACGCACTGCTGGCCTACACGCTGGGCGTGAAGCAGCTTATCGTGGGGGTCAACAAGATGGACTCCACGGAGCCCGCCTACAGCGAGAAGCGCTACGACGAGATCGTCAAGGAGGTCAGCGCCTACATCAAGAAGATCGGCTACAACCCAGCCACCGTGCCTTTCGTGCCCATCTCGGGCTGGCACGGCGACAACATGCTGGAACCCTCGCCCAACGTGAGTGCCCAGCAGCGGTGGGGCTGCTCGGACCTCCCCCTGAGGGCCCTGGGTCAGGGCGGGCACAGACAGCCAGCAGGAGGAAGTGCGGTACCAGCCCCCTGTGGGTGTCCACGCTGCTGGAAGCCCCAGACTCCTTGGGGGCCGGACGCTCTGCCCTCAGCTCAGCCTCCCTGTGAGGCTGGCAGAAGCCACTGCAGCCCCTTCTCTGGCCAGGGACACGCCCCCCCTCGCCCCCCAGGCTGACACTGCGGGGGCAGCGGCTGCCGGGGCCCAGGCCCACTTGCCCCGTCTCTGTCTCCAGAGATCTGCGTGGCAGGGTTGCATCTCCCCCAGGGGCCAAGGCCACGGGGCCTCCCAGGCCCCTCCCCGAGGCCCAGGGCAGGCCGGGACAGCAAAGGGCCGAGGGCTGGCTCTCTGGGGCCAGCTGGGAAGCTGGCGGCTCTGGCAGCCCATGTCCTGGGGACTTGACTCGGCAGGAGGTGATGAGTGGGACCTGGTTGTTTTGAATTTGTGGAGCCCGAGACCAGGTGCCTCACCCGGTCAAGCCAGAGGCCACCCCTGGCCCAGCAGGGGTCACTAGTCCTGGCCAGGCTGCAGCTGCCCACACTGAGGGAGATGGGCACGGGGGGTATCTCAGGAGAGCCAGGGGAAACTCAGCCCTGCACCCGTGGTTGGGGGCCGCCCCTCCTGGCCGGGCTGCCGGCTTGTATGTTGCGGATCGAGCTCCCCTCGTGGGGTCTCACGTAGGGAGGGGTGAGCCAACCGTGGGCCCGGAGGCCACGGCTGTGGGGTGGGTGGCACGGGGGCACGTGGGCTCTAGGACAGTGCTTTCTTCCTCCTGCGCAGATGCCGTGGTTCAAGGGCTGGAAAGTGGAGCGGAAGGAAGGGAATGCCAGTGGCGTGTCCCTGCTGGAGGCCCTGGACACCATCCTGCCCCCCACACGCCCCACAGACAAGCCCCTGCGCCTGCCGCTGCAGGATGTGTACAAGATCGGCGGTGAGTGAGGGCTCCGTGGCCACCGCCCGCTGCAGCACCCACCCTGCAGCCTGGCCAGCTCTGCCCTCAGACCCCCTCCTGAGAATGGGCCCCTGACCAGGAGCATCCGGGACGGGTTATTTCAGCCCCTTCCCCCATGCTGCACACTTTCCGGGGGGCCACGCATCCACCCATCTCCATCCATGCATCTATCTGTCCATCTATCCACCCCCACCCCCGACCCATCTATTATCCATTTCTTCATCAGTCCATTCATCCATCCATCCGTCAGTCCCTTTATCCACCCACCTCCCCCTGCCCGTCCATCAGTCTGTCCCGAGTTTGCCAGGGTCTTCCTCCCTCCAGATAAGTGCCCAGCCTTATACCAGGAGCTGGTGGCACAGGGAGGGTCGCATATTACTCTCCACCTGGAGATTCCTGTCTTGTGGGAGACACGATCCACTCCAGGAGTGAGAAAAGCTGGTCATGAAATGATATAGAACCATAAACAAGTATGAGGCCCACGAGGGGGCAGCGATGGGGGACTCCCAGCCAGGAGGCTGTGGCAGAGATGCGGGGCTGTGTGCAGGATGGGGGTGTCACTCACCCAGCACAGAGAACAGCCACCAGCCTCAGCCTCCGCAATGCCACACGAGCCTCTGTCACAGCCACGGAGACCGGCTGGAGCCCCCACCGCCCCCGTCCCCCACTCTGGGGAGCACCAGACCCCCACTGGGCAGCCACACAGTATAAGCGGATCCTGAGAAGTGCAGGGGCACCCACGCCCCTTTGGGAGTGACCCTCAGGACAGCAGCGCCAGCGCCAGGCGGGCCACGTTGGGTGGGCTGGTCCTCAATCCGCTCAGGGCTTCTGCCTCACAGGGTGGGACCCCTCCTTGCCCATTCTCCCTGTGCTCTGGGAACTCTCTTCCTCAGTCCCTTCTTCCGCTGGCGGGGCGCAGAAGCCTCCACTTCTGTCTGAATGCCTCAGCGTCCGCCTTGCCCGGGGTCTCCCTGTCCCCTCCCTCCCGCCACGTGGCCACCCCCCACCGGCCAGGGAGGACAGGGCACCCCTGACGCCAGCCTGCCCTCACGGCCCCCTTCCTCTCGGCCCAGGCATTGGCACTGTGCCTGTGGGCCGAGTGGAGACGGGCATCCTCCGGCCGGGCATGGTGGTGACCTTTGCGCCTGTGAACATCACCACGGAGGTGAAGTCAGTGGAGATGCACCACGAGGCGCTGAGCGAGGCCCTGCCCGGGGACAACGTAGGCTTTAACGTGAAGAACGTGTCGGTCAAGGACATCCGCAGGGGCAATGTGTGCGGGGACAGCAAGTCCGACCCACCCCAGGAGGCCGCCCAGTTCACGTCCCAGGTGGGCAGCCCGGTGGTCGGCAGGGCCCCCCCCCCCAGTACCAGGGCTGTCCTCAGGTGAGGGGGCTGCCTGGCGCTGGGGAGGACTGAGACCCCCGCTTCGCAGAGTGGGCCACTGAGGCCGGGAAGGGCTGAAGCCGGCCGAGGGCGCAGGTGGGAAGAGCAGGCGGGGTGCACCCCAGCCTCGGTGCTCCTGGCCTCACTGAGGTCCCACTTTGGTCCTGAAAACGCTTTTATCAGTTTATTGCCTGCGACAGGCCTGTGATACTTAATTCTCCACATTTGCACTGTGTCCTCTTCGGTCACCTCTTTATGTGACTAGGACTTTTTAAATTGGCTTTACTGAGATACAATTGAAATATGATAATCTAAGTCCTGTCTTGTCATCCCCCGTCTTTGCTCTGGCTGCTGGCCCTTTCAAACCGTGCCCTCGTCGTTGTTTATCTCTTGTGGCTTTTTAGATGCTTGAAGAGGACCTCGGGGTCCAGGTCCGGGGGCCTGGGTCCCCCCTAGCCTGACCTTCCTCCATGGTCGGCACTCTGGGCCCCAGGGACCTGGGGGTGGGCGGAGCCTCCTCCAGCTCTGTGCCCTCCCCCTGTGCCTGATGGCCTCATGCACCTCTGTCCGCAGGTCATCATTCTGAACCACCCTGGGCAGATCAGCGCTGGCTACTCGCCGGTCATTGACTGCCACACAGCCCACATCGCCTGCAAGTTTGCTGAGCTGAAGGAGAAGATTGACCGGCGCTCTGGAAAGAAGTTGGAGGACAACCCCAAGTCCCTGAAGTCCGGCGATGCGGCCATCGTGGAGATGGTCCCGGGGAAGCCCATGTGTGTGGAGAGCTTCTCCCAGTACCCACCTCTCGGTGAGCTGGGGGGTGAGGGAGGGGCAGCCCCGGGGTGGTGGCCAATCCAGGCCAAGGGCAGAGGACCACTGTGGGGGTGGGGTGGACGGAGGGTCCCGCACTTTTGCGCTGCAGCTTAGAGCTTAGCAGGAGGCCCCCGGCCTTGGTCTTTGTCTCATGGAGCACAGGTGGCCCCACTGGGTGGGCCTGGGATGGTATCCTGCTCTGCAGACTCACCCAAGGCCCACAGCTGGTCTGGTGGCAGAGTTAGGACTGGCCGCCTGCCTCCAGCTGGCCGGCCGCACAGATACCCCAAGGACGACCCACAGACCTATATCAGAGAGCTGCCTTGTGCAAGGTTGCTGGCCATCTTCAAGATGGCTAAAAGGGTGTACTGTACTCCGCGCCAGCCTGCCCTAAGTACTGTCCACATACCATTTAATTCCCACAACGATGGCTTGGCGGAGTCCTATGTGTGTTATTCCTGACACCTAAGGAGACAGGAGCCTCGTACTCCACTGCCCACCCCCCCCCCCCCCCCCCCCAAACAGGCACAGAGAGCTCGGTGCCCAGCGCTAGCGTCCCGCCCCAGGGCCAGGGGCTGGGGAGGATGCTGGGGGCGCGAGTGCGCCTGCGCCCTGTATCCCGGCCCGCGCCTCACGCCCCCTCCCCGCAGGCCGCTTCGCCGTGCGCGACATGCGGCAGACGGTGGCCGTGGGCGTCATCAAGAATGTGGAGAAGAAGAGTGGCGGCGCCGGTAAGGTCACCAAATCGGCGCAGAAGGCGCAGAAGGCGGGCAAGTGAAGCGCGGGCGCCCGCGGCGCGACCCTCCCCGGCGGCGCCGCGCCCCGCCCCCGCCCCTACCCCCGGCCCCGCTCCCGGCGCGGTCCCGGCGCCCCGCCCCCTCGCCAGGCGCATGTCTGCACCTCCGCTTGTAAGAGGCTCTCCGTCAGCGACTGGATGCTCGCCATCAAGGTCCAGTGGAAGTTCTTTAAGAGGAAAAGCGCCCCCGCCGCCGCCCCGGCTTCCGCGTCCAGCCTTTGCCACGCTCAGTGCCCGTTTTACCAATAAACTGAGCGACCCCGGAGCCGTGTGCGCCTGCTGTTGGGGGGTGGGCGGCTCGCCCTGCGGGAGGGCGCTCGTTAGGACCCCTCCTGGCCCCCCACCAAGTTGCCAGCCCCGTCCCACCTGGCATCCCGCCCAGCACCCACCACCCCTGTGGGCGACCTGGCCAGGTGTCCACCTGTGCTACCCAGGGGGACGGTGGGGCACTGGATCCAGAGTCCAGCTGGTGAGGGGGCTTTGGCGTTCCCCCAGTGGGGGCACCCAGGACAAAGAATGAGTCACTTTGGATCCGCAGAAGCGGGGTTGAACGTGTTGGGGGTCTCTCTGAGAATGGGATGAACTGAGGGCTCCTCCCCCACGAGTGGCTGTCACACACACATTGTTGTTCACCCGGGTTTTCAAGCTCCCACGCTCTTGGAAGCCCACTCTTAACGCCCCCAACTCCCAGCCCTAGGCTGGTCACTTGTGGCTGGACTCAGCGCCACTGCCGTCCTGCTCCTCAGTGGGGCCCCCGGCACAGCCAGGAACCCCAGCCCCTGGAACCCCAGAACAAGCCCTGACCTTGGTCAGCAAGCACAGTAGAGGGGGGAGGGAGGGCTTGCTGCCCAGCTCTCCCTGCTGCCAGAAAGCAGCGCCTAGCCCGAGCCGGGTGTTGTTGCTGCAGATGGAGCTCAGGGCGGGGCTGAGCGGATCCCTGACTGCGGGCGCAGTGCAGACTTGCCCGCCTGCAGCGGGAACTGGGCTGTGGGGCGTCCCCTCCAGGGTGAGCAGCAGGCCAACCACAGGGTCCCCTAGTGTATGAGTCCCCTGGGGCTGCAGCAACAAATGGGCCTCAAGCTGGAAGCTTAAAACGACAGAAATGGACCCTCCCGCAGTCCAGTACCCCTGGGACAAGATCCAGCGTGGGCAGGGCCCGCTCCCTCCAGAGGCTGTGGGGGAGGGTCCGGTCCGTGCCTCTTGCAGCTCCTGGTGGCTGCCGGAGTCCCTTGGCTTGTGGCCACAGGCCCCCAGTCTCTGCCTCCATGGTCACATGGTCTCCTCTCCTCTGGGTCAAATCTCCCCTGCCAACCGCTTATACGGGAGTCACTGAAGACCCCCCTGGATAATCCAGGGTCATCTCCGCCCAAGCTCCCTGATTCAGTCACCTGTGCAAAACACTGTCTTGACACTTGTCACATCACAGGTTCCAGGGCCTGAGGCCTGAACTCTCTGGGAGCATGTCCAGCCCGCCACCCTGGGTGGTGATGGGAATTATGCCACCGAGTGAGGGGCCGGCCCGGACAGATGGGTGCTGGGGTTCAGGGGTGTCCACGGAGGGACGGTGGTGTCTCCCCGCCCAGTCCCAAAGTGGGGATGGGCCCCTGGAGGGCGCAGGAAGGGAGAGTAGGACCAGAAGAAGGGCACCAGGCTAGCCAAGCCAGTGTGGACTGGGACCCACCTCCCCAGTGCTGGCGGCCTGTAGACCCCCGTGCGAACTGGGACCCACCTCCCCGGTGCTGGCGGCCTGTGGACCCCCATGCGCAGGGTCTGGGCCGACCCTCAGAGGCCTCAAAGGAAGGCAGCTCGAGTAGGCGAACAGAGACACAGAACCCCAGGCAGATCTGGATTCAGAGAAACAGTGGATACTTTTGAACATAAATATGTCCCATGCACTATGTACACTGAGAAAGTATTTACTGCTTACCTGAGATTCACGCTTGTTGGTGTGTTTTATCTGGTGGCCCTACCCAAGGAAACTGGGTGCCCCCTGCCACTCTTCTGAGCTGCGGCTCGTCCTGGGCCCCCGGGCCAACCTGCTGTGACCCTGCCAGCTGTCTGTCCCAGGAAGCTGTCCTCTTACACTTGGCCCAGTTAGAATTGGGGTCAAGCCAGAGAAACCTGTCAGCATGAGACAGGGTAAGAATGAATCCAGCCCCGGCTGGGGTCAAAGGAAGCCCCCCAGCGTGGTCCCTGAGGGGACCCTCACCCTCTGGTCCAAGCGGCTGTTGTGGTCCAGATGCCAAGGGTGGGGGGATTTCAGCCATACTTCCCGCCCCCTGCAGGTGAGTGTGTTCCTGGGGTGGGGGACACAGATCATTCCAGGCTCATGGACTCTCAGGGCAGTGTGAGGACACAGGTGGGAGCACTTCTCCACTCCCACCGGAGTCTGAGGAAGATGGGGGTCCCTGCCACGGTGGAGGGTGGGGCTTCTCAGAGGGTCTCGGAGGGGGCCTTGGGCCACCTTCGGGGATGGAGTGATTAAGGCAGCCCCTGGAAGGTGCAGCTCCTAGTCTGTTGCCTGGCAGGGCACTGGACCTCTCTGCATCCCTGTGCCTTGATCAGGGTGGGGTTCCCCAAGACAGAGGAAGAGAAATCCGGACCTCACTCTCGGGGACATGCAGTACCTGCAGGTGTCCACGTGGGGGCAGCACATGCAGCACCTCTCCCAGGATTTTTCTGCTGACCTGGGGGGGGGGGGCTCCCCCACCAGCAGCCCCCTGCAGAGCTGGGGTGGGCAGGGACCTGGGTCTCTGGGCTGTTCCGGGAGCCAAACACACTCAGCGGGAGGGGCTTCAGGGGGAGGGTGGGCACTGGCCACACCTCGGGACTGGCAGTGGGAGGGGAGGGCTGGGTGGGATGGCAGAGGCCCAGCGTCACACTCTGGGTGTCGGTTCTCAAACCCTCGCAGGGTCAGACACCACTGAGGTGGTAGCCATAGACTTGGTGCACCGGAAAGGAAAGCAGAAATATTTAAAACTCAAGGTCACACAGCGCAGTCGTCACACATCGCATGGCTCTGAAAACCCCACTGTACGAGGGGGGACGGGCGGAACAAAGCCAAGGCCTTGGCGTTACTGGGAGAACAGTCTGATCTTGAGGGCCTTCTGGAGGGCTCTCGGTCCCCGGGGTGCCTGGACCTAAGTCTGAGAGCCTCTGATCTGGGCAGTAGTGCAGGCGGTGAGGGCGCTGGTTCCTGCCCCGCTCCACCCACCGCCAGCGGGACAAAGCAGATGGTGGGTGGAGGAACCCCCTGCGGTCAGGTGCTCGCAGGGCTTGCGCAGCTGCCTCCTGGCCCGCCTCCGCTGCTGTCCAGCTCCCGGCACGGCCATCGGAGTGCGGGCTGAGGCTGCGCGGTGAGCGGAGGGCGTGGGGGCCCCTCCCTTTGGTCTGGTGGTGGGTGGGGCAGGGAAGCAGGGTAGGGGGCGGGGTCCACTGGGCCTTGGCGTCGGGGTGTCAGCTTCAGAGGCGGAGGGTGGGTGGACAGGGTGGGTGGTACCACAACCCGGACAGGGCACCCTGGGGTGCAGGCGGGGGTACAGCCTCAGGGCCAGGACCCGAGCGGGGGGCACAGACCAGCGCTCACACTGGGCTTGGATGCCTGGGCTGCCGCGCAGGACGTGGGGGCCACAGGGCTGGTGCCGGAGCCCAGGCTGGGCGATTGCCCCCTGAAGCTGAGGCCCGGGGCTGGGTCTTCCACCCTCTGCTGGGCTGGGGAATAATTGAAAGCAAGATCTGCCAGGACCCAAGTGGCAGCTTCAATCTGCACTTTGGGTACCTCCGAAAAATTCATGGGTCCTCGGGGTTGCAGGGTCCTGCTGAGCCGGCCAGATCGGGTCTGTCTCCTGCCCTCGTCTCCCCAGGGCTCCCGGAGCCCTCCCCTCGAGACAGGAAGCACCTTCCCTCCCTCCCCCAGGGACCTGGGTGACCTGGTGGTGACCGTCCTGTGTCTGGACGGCGGCCTCAGACCCCAGGGCTCCTTGCCAGGGAGTGACCGCCCTTGTGAGGGGCTGTGGGTGTGTCTCCTCCTGGGTGCCCTGGTGCGTCTCGGAGTGGGACCAAGGGTGTGCCAGGTTACACGAGTGCCCCTGGTGTGTGTACCCAGCCGTGCACACCTGTGTGAGTGTGACCTGGGTGTGGAGCTGTGCACGTCTGCCTGTGGCTGTGTGGAGTGTGGGGAGAACGTGGTGGGGGTCCTGGAGCCCACGGGAGCCAGGGCAGCGAATGTGTGCAGGTGAGTGCGCATGCGTGCATCTCGTGCGTGCTTGAGGGAGCACGCGTGCGCATGCACACGTGTGCACGAGTGTTGAGTGTGTGTGCGCCCGCACAAGCTGTGTCCCGGCTGTAGCTGCACTGCTGGCTGGCTGGAGTCAGGATTGAGCCCAGGGCGCCGTGGGTGGCCGGACTCAGGCAGCGCTGGGGAGCTTTCCCGGTCCCGCGCCCGTGCGGGGAGAAGCCGGCTGGGGGCTGCGCTGGCTGCTCATGACTTCACTGGGGTGGGTCTGGGTGGGTTGGGGAGGAACGGAGCTTGGTGTCCAGAGGAGCTGCTTCCTTTCCTGGCGTCTCTCTTTGGGGGTCGGCTGGGGAGGGCGAGGGCCGCTCAGACGTGGGCTCGTGGCTGGGAGCCCGGCCGAACCCGCTGCCAGCGCAGAGGTCCAATCAGCCGCACACCGGGGTGCGGCCGGAAGCAGGGGTGGGGGAGGCGAGAGCTCCCAGGCCCTGCCTGTTCCGTGTCCGCCCTGGGCGGAGTGGGTGGACCTGGAAGGGTCAGTGGGGCAGGGACCAGATCATTCTCTTTGGACCGCCTCTGTGAAGATGCTCGGTGAAGTGGCCCCAGGCTCCGAAGCCATCTTCTTGTCAGGGATGCTGGCAGCTCTGGGGGGCGTAGGGGCCGTGGTTGGGCTTGTGCCAGCCCCGAGTGACGGATGGGCCCAGCTCCCTGGCCTAGAGGGCCCGCCCTGGGCTCTGGTGACAAGGACCGTGCCAGCTGCTGTTTGAAGCTGGGTCTTTCGAGATGGCTGGGGTTCTGGTGTCTGGGGTTCAGCTGCCCAGAAAGGGGGGGCGGCAAGGCTGAGCCAAAAGGGGAGCTGGAGGACAGAACAAAGGAGGGAAGAGGGGCGGGGGAGGGGGTGGGGGTCATGCTTCTGAGCCTCACGGTGGAAGTGTGTGAAATGTCCCCTTCCATCTCTGGCCTCTGCGCAAACCTCTCGCCCCTCAGAGTGGGCAGGACCTGGATGGGTGCCCTGCGCACCTTTAGGGCTGGGG